GTGGTGCAGCCATTTATTTGTTGTTTCTTGCAATTGTTTTGAAGACTTCCTTTGGGGAGGTGTATGAAGGAATTGGTCAGGGGAGTTTCTGACTGGTCCTGCCTTTTAGGACACTGAGGATGGAGTCATTGTGAATAGAGTCGTCACATTAATTTAGACAGAAGCTTAGTTTGTTTTTTTCCTTTGGCTCATTGAGGGCCCAGTCTTGAAGTTACTTACTACATCCGACTGAAGAGTGAGTAATTATTATTTTCTTCCGTTGTAGGGAGGTTAGTGTTGACGTGCCTCTTTTTGAGAGGCCTGCTTTTTTTTCCTCTTGTTATTCAAGCATTTGATGCTATGATTTTAATTGACATGTTGCAGCCATTATTGCATCCATACTCTCTAGCTTAATGTGCATGAAGTGTACAGAAGGGGTCCTGTGTTTTTGCACATGTATGTTTTATATTGCTAAATCGTAGTCAAAGGGCAATATACAAAAGCTTTGGAAAAGTAGTGAAGGTTTCTTCATATCCTTTGTGCAGTGAAAAAGTACAACCATATTTTTGAAGTTGATCTGGCCACTATACAAAGTGGCACTACTCTGAATTAGACCCTTTCCAAAATTCAGTGCCATCTAGCAGCTCAAGTAGCAGTCTACATTTTGCCATACTAATGATGGTAACAACAAATCTTGTAGTGTTTTATGGGGCACCGCCATTTTCGTATCAACAGCAGGCAGGAATGTTTTCTTCAATGTTCACTTTTTGCTCAATTTGTTTAGTTTTGATTGTGACAAAGGAAACAACCAATCTGCATGAAGTGGTGACCTGAGCGTGTGCCAACAACCAGATTGGATTTGATCGTTTATGCAGTGCTCGCATTCAGTTTGTGTGTTGCACTGTGTCATCCACTCAGGCGCATGTCTTCAACTTATTCCTTTGTCAGCCACTAAAAGGCCGCCATTAGTATGGCACATGCGCTATACACTCAGATTATCAAAGTGGCCAGACTAAATTTCAGAAAGGGTCATATGGTTTGAGGTCATCTTTAAACCTTGAGTCCATTATCATTTATTTCTTTAGTGTGACATGTAATTGTTCATAAAAACTGTAACAGAACATAACAATTGCTTTTTGGCAGGAAATTTGAGTGACATGATTCCCACTTTATTATGTATCCCTGACAGTATTCAAGTTAAACACGCGAGTTCAACAGTAAACAAAAGTGAGAAGACCAGATGCAAAATATGAAAACAATACACTTCCAACCCTGCTTGAATACACTCAAATGCAATGAATGGGTTTGCCAAAAAGAAGTGGACATCATTTTAATATTTCACCATTGGCTTTGGACAAAAGCCATTGTCAGTCCCGTAAAATCATGTTGGTTTGAGTGGGTGGCTTTTAATGGCCTTTGTCAGGAGTTTTTACAGAAATTCTCTATTCAGGATTCTATATCCCTCTTGAAAGCTCTAAGCATCTTCAGGTGCTAGTCTACCAGCATAGTCAACCCTTAAATGCTGTTAACTTGCATTTCTCATCTGTGTATGTACATGAAAATTATCGGTATTGGCAGCCATTGTTCAGGTTAGAAGGGCATAGAAGCATGTGTTCCGGCAATACCCCACACTAATTGGTTTACAACAGTTTTTGGGGGCTGTGACACTGATTTTGATGTGTAAAAGAAATTAGTGAGTGCTTCTGTATATTGGAAAAGTTTGAAAAGCATTGGTAGAGAGCCGCATTGCATGCTACATTTCTATTGGTCAAGCTGTAAAGTCGTGTAAAATTGTGGGCCAAAATAAATGCTTATTTTGCCCCATCTGTTCTGTGCTGAAAGATATATATGTGTGTACGCATCTTATGTGAAACTTAAATCTTGTCTGTGCTTATCCTATCACCCCAGGCATAAAAACCCTTTAAATGCGACTGGGTTATGCTGTTTTACTGTAAGTGTGCACTTACGTGAAGTGATCTGGAACAACCACCATGTGTAATAGTTTTTATGAGGAGTGTTGCTATTTTGGTTGAAAACAGTTTTTTTTTTAGAAACTTTGCTGGTTTGTTTTAATATATCTGGGATAATTAAAAGAAAGGTCTCTAGTGATTCCGTCTACTTTCTTTTAATGACTAATTGACTTTTACTGTAAACGACATTTTTTTTGTTTTATGATCATTGGTGGCCAGGCTTCAGTTATGCTATATTTTACACATTTTAAGTCTTTCTGATAGGTCTTTTACACTTTTCCATGTGCACACGAACTAATGCTAATGCTCAGGCTGGAGAATAAAAATAAAGATGATTTAAATCATGATTTTAGTCACACTGATTTTACAATGATTTGAATCTGACCTTTCCAGTAAAAAAAGAAATAAACTCGGAACATCTGTTTTACCGCTTGAGTGTCTATCACTTTAATTACTTTTACATGTGCATTTATTTATATTTAAAGCAAACAATTTGGTAAGAAAGATCAGGGCATTGAGCCGCAAGCATGCTGCTGAGGTAAAATTAAATCGGAGCATTGAGCCATAGTTGGGCCCTTTCTATAGACCATTCCATTTAGCGCTCTCTGGGCGGCACCATTTTGTTTGACCGCAGCGCCCTCTCCACACATCCGGGAAGTTCATTGGGTTCGGCGGGCTAAAACGAGAGAGAGGGCACGCGCCCGACTCCGCTAGCAGACGACAAAACGGGAAGTTGCCGTTCTCCATCTTTGGGCTGTATCGGCGGGCAGTACGGAACATCGAACTAGCGCTCGTGGCTGCCGTTGTGAAGTGGTTCGCGTTCCCAGAATAGTTGTGGCTACACCAAAATCAGCCTATAGCTCTCTGTTCTATTTCGCTAAATGATCAACTAGCATATCCTTTTTCCGCTACTTAAATATCAGTTGAGTCAGCCGGCAGTACTACCCTCAACTACTGCGTGTGTTGCGGCAGGAGAGCACGTTTTATTTATTATTTCAGACTTCCACTCATGGTCGCTAAAGGCCTACACCAGTACAAACTTTGTATAGTAAAAAAGATAACAGCAACCGGATTTACCTTTTGCCAAAGAGACCGGCCAATCTGACACAGTTTTCCCTATTCTTTTTTTTATATTTGCACGCAGGTAGCAGAGCAATTGGATCCTGTGAGTCGTTTTATCTAGCTTAGTATTACACGCTAACTGGCATACCAAAATTTGTGCATCTGCGCTTGAAAGTTCCAAAATGACGCGATTTTAAACAGAGTTTGCACGCCAGCCGGACGCTAGCTACAGCTCACTCGGCGGAGCGGACGACAGGCGGGGTGAGAGGGGGAGTGCATTCTTTTCTATTTTACCCTCTCTGCTATGACCCTTGAAGGCGGGCACTTGGAGGAACGTGCTTTCTACCTCACTTCGTTAGCCAGCCATGTAGTATCCTTCAAACAGGACGTGAAAGAAAACAAAATCAACAAGGGTATGTATGCACACACGCACACAGAGACCGAAAGATGAGTTTGTAGCACCCTGGTTTGTAGCAAGATTCCTCCCTTTTCCGGTGTTTCCAAGGCGCATGCGCAACAGCAGCAGACAGGAGTCCGCCATTTTTGGTGGCGTGGTGCGTCCGGCTCGGTACTGCGGGAGGCAGCGGTGGTCGCGCGTTTCGAAGTGCCCCAACGCTGTTTCGTTGTCGGCTGCAGCAACCAGAGCAAGCTTTGTCGCGGTTTATGTTTCTTTAGGTTTCCTTCTACTAGCCTGCACCCGACGAAGTGGCAGCAGCGATCCGGCGAAACAATGTGGACGGCTCCCGTGTTTGCAGTCGCCACTTCAAGGAAGGTTAAAGTTTTTGTTCCTTTATTTAATATTGATGTAGAAATACAAGTCGGCAGATTGATTAATATGATGTCTCGCTTATGTGCCACGCAGAGCGGGCGCCTCGGATTTCGCGGTTTGTGATGGTGCGTTTGACTGGAGCACGTTTTTACTTGCTAAGTGACGGCCTCGCGTTGCTACGCAAACTGCCTGTCTGCATTTTGGTTGCTGTAAACATTGGAATCGCCCACAGTTTTCGAATATTTATAAAGCAGAGAATTAAAGTATCTACGGTGTACAGTTGGTTGCTATGTGCATACCCGGAAAGAGAAAGGGGAGCAGCTGTTTCACTACCACGACCGCATCTGCTCGTCTTGTGCTTAAATAAGAAAAAAAAAAACAAAAAAAAAACAATCGACTTGTGTTGTTTTCATGTATGTGACATAGTTTTTGCGGACTCTAACCAAAGTTTTATTGAAAACAGATAAACTCCACGTTTCGGGACCCGCTCGGTCCCCGTGACCAAGGGACCGAGCGGGTCCCGAAACGCCGGGTTTTTCTGTTTTTATTAAAACTTTGGTTAGAGTCCGTAAAAACTACTTCAATTTCTCCCTAACCAGACAGACCTCTGTCGAAAATGTTTACGTTTAATCCTCATGTATGTATCAAGCAAAAAAATTAGTTTCCAGCAAGACTCAAAATAGTCAGGTGTGGTCGATTTCGTGTTTTTTCTTCAGGACCTAAAGTCACACACAGCCATGGGCGTACCAACCGGGGGGGAAGGGGGGGGGGGGGGGGGGGCAAAGCAGAGCCGTTTATACTGAGAGAATTTGGCCTTCTTAAAGGGATGCTGAACCGAAATCTAGATTCCCCGGAACACGCTGTAAGAGCGTGCAACGGGATGCTACGAACACCAAAACATCACTCGTACAGCGATATCTCGAACGGATGACCGAATTTTTCAAAAAAGGATGCGCATTTGTGAGAGATGTTGACGTCATATTTCTCCGAGAAGGAGAGGGAACGTGCTTTTAGCATAGACGTCGAAGACCTGTACTATTCGATGCCTCACGACGACCTCATGAGGAGCGTACAGGAATGTATTTTGGACCAGAATGAAGAGATAGCCTTCAGATCTCAATGCGGTGTAACAGTCGAAGATTTCCTTGAAGTACTGTCTTTTTATTTAAAGTCCACCTGTATTGGATGGCAAGACAAAGTTTGGATTCAAAAATCCGGAGTGTGCATTGGGTCGAAAGTGACCCCTGTACTGAGTAGTATTTTTTTTTTTTGCAAGAGTGGATCGAGCACTTAAATTCAAGTTAGAGGGACTTACTGGAAGAATTTTCAGATACGTGGATGATTATCTTGTATTCGTAGAAAAACCCAATTTTAACCAGACAATCCAGAACGTGCTAAAGACATTCAAATATTCAATGAACAAGGATTAGGGATAAAATTCACTTTCGAAACCCCCAAAGAACACCAGATTCAGTTTCTGGATCTCAGTATCGATGTTACGCATGAGCATGTATGTTGGTCTCACCATCCCAGAACCGCTAAATCTCTGCTCGATTTCCGGTCCGCCCATTCAAAGCTGATAAGAAACGGTATTGCTGTGTCTTGTGTCCGGAATGCGCTGTCAAAATCGTGCGAGCACAAAATGAAGGAGAGCGTTTTAGGCCAAATAGCAAGGCTCCGAGAAGGAAGTTTTCCAGATCCAATGATTAACGCAG